TTTCTTTTATAATGCTAAAGTAAACTTCGGACATTAATTCTTAGAATAGAAATGTATGAAAATTTTAGTTTTCCTTTTATCTTTTTTTTTTCTTCTTCTTTTTTTATTTATTTATTTTTTTTTTTTTTTTTTTTTTTTAAAGAAGACCTCTTTATTAGGAAAGTTAAGTTTCTTTTTCAATTTTCATACGTTTAAATTATACGATATCGAAAAGAGTCTCATAGAGATGAAATTTTCACGGTCTAAAAGTCATTAAAAATTTTTTAATTAACGAAGTAATAACAATGGAAACGTTCCGATTAAACAAAAAAGAAAAGAAATAATGTGCATTTTTTCAACAACTTTCATAATTCATATACGTTGATTATTCGATACAGAAGAAAACTTCTATGAGATTAAATTTTCATGTAATTTCGATTTGATTTCTCTCGAAATATCGGACATTAACATTAGAGATGTTTCACTTCAAAAAGATTAAATTTCTTTGAGATGAAATATCATCGATCATACGTTGTAGAAATTTCAAAGTTATTAAATTTCCTATTTATATTCCGATCAAAAAAAAAAGAGAAGAAAAAAAAAAAGAAGAAGAAAAAATGATCGAATTTCTTTAACATACATATATATATATATATATTTTTTTTTTTTAAATTACATAAATTACCCTTATTAATTAATTATAGAAATAAATCTCAACAATATTAAATTCGTCGATGTATTATATATATATATATATATATATATATATATTTCGAATTCGTTCTTTCATCTAAACTCTTTGGTACTTGAAAGTTATTTTCAGCATACCTTTCATAACTCTCTACTAGCATTTAGTTCGAAAGGGACACTCCAGCCTCCCGTTAGAGAGTTTTACGATCGTGACGAGGAAATAGATTACGAAGGTTCTTTTTGAAAACGTTGTTTTCATAACTAATGCAATCTCAATATGTCAGAGAAAGAAAGAAAGAAAGAAAGAAAGAAAGAAAGAAAGAAAGAAAGAGAAATAGAGATAGAAAGAGAGAGAGAAAGAGAAAGAGATACATACATATATATATATATATATATTTCTGTGGCATTTTCTTAGTATGGCTCTTACACTCTACGATGCTTTGAAATGGCAAATACTTGGTTCTTTGTGAGTGAAAGATTCCTCACATTCGTTTCATAAAACGTTTTAATTGTAAGATAAAACTAAAAGGTATCCAGCATCGCTATCTTTTACACGGTAATCTCTCACACCTCGAAATAAGTACATTTTCTTGTTCTCACGCTAATAATAAATTATAAAATGTTCGATCTTTATCATCGATTATTAATGACAGTCTTAAATAATAATAATAATAATAATAATAATAATAATAATAATAATAATAATAATAATAATAATAATAATAATAATTTAATCTTGATAAATATTTAAAGGATATTTATTTATAACGAAGAAAATAATTTTATTATTTAAATAATTTCTTTTTCATATTATTTTAATCTTCATGAATAACAAATAAAAATATTTAATCATTATCATCGACTACAGAATAACAGTGTCAAATAATAATAATAATAATAATGAGCAAGATGATAAAAAAAAATATTTAAAGAATATTTATTTAAACGAAAGAAAAGAATTTTGTATGAACTAATATAATCGTAATAAATTAATGATCGAGCCTAAAGAAAATATTTATTTAAACGGAGCAAAGAACTTCGAAAGAATTCTCTTTTAATTCTAAATATATATATATATATATATATATACATATACATATAGCCATATAATATCGTTCATAAAATTGTTCCTTAAAGGCATAATTTCTTTCTTTTTCTTTTTTTTTTTCTTTTTTATCTTTTATCAAACGCCACCATCTTTACTTTCCTCCTTTATTTCCTACTTTTTCACTACTTCTACACTTCAACTTATAAAATAGTTTTCAACTTCTTTACTCTTTTACAACCTCTTGCCTCTTTTATCCTTGGAAGGTTAAATTTCCAAGTCGAAGTTATTCCCAAAGGACATTCTGCCATGCTATTACCTACTCGAATACTCGAATTCTCGTGACAACGGACCATAGGGCAAAGTTTTCGTACAGTTAGGTATTTAAATATAAATATCTAAAAGGAAAATGAAGCAACACGTTGCAAGTTCTAAACTTTTTCTATTTGTCAGATTTAGAGGGACAAATAGAAAGAGAGAGAGAGAGAGAGAGAGAGAGAGAGAGAGAGAGACAAAAAGAGAAAGAAAGAGAGAGAAAGTCTTATTATACTTTGTTGTATTCCCTAAACTAATAATACTGATAATTAAAATATTAAGTATTTAAAAAAAAAAAAAAGAGATATTTTAATACTCTATAACATTATGTAATACACATACAAGCACACGTGCATGCACTTTCAAGTGTTACGATATTAATTATATTATGTAATCATATTTATTAATTAATATAACAAGTATATCCTTTATATATATTATATATATATACATATACATTAGGATATGAGCCGTGCTATATAAATTTATAAATTACATAATTCTTTCTTTTTTTTTTTTTTTCTAATGCGAAGAAAAATTATTAATTTGACAGCATGATTTATTCTCTTTCCATTTTCTTTTTTTTTACATACTATATATATATATATATATATATATATATATATATATATATATATGTATATATCTTTCGTTTTTCATTTTTAAGGAAATTACATGCGTGAAAGGAAATGCAAGAGACGTATCAATTCGTAGAAGATTGACTCAACGATCACAATGCATCGATCGGTAGTGAAAAGCCCTAGTCTTTTCGAATGAAATTCCGCAGATAAATGGACTCGCCATGAGAACGAAGATGGATACGTAAATGTACATAGAGACACCTACGTAAATCCATGGTAAATCCCAGCGTACGTTCAATCGCGAATTATCGATTTCTTGCAAGCTAATAATACGCAAATCCGCTTAGTTCGGACTATTTCCTAAAGCGATGTAAAATCTACGAATAATATGTGAAAAAGCAGAGAGAAAGAGAGAGAAAGAAAGAAAGAAAGAGAGAGAGAGAGAGAAAGAGAGAAAGAGAAAAAATCAAAATTATTTTTTTTAACAAATTTTCTATTTACCGATAAATTTTCTTTTTTGGTTCTATTTCTTTTTTTTTTTTTTTTTGTCAAAAATATAATATTAAAATTAAAATATGAGTAATGCGTGGAAAAGTAAAGATGATAAAATGAATAGAATTTTTAAACAATTTTTTTTAAGAAACTTCTCTATCTACACTTATATATATATATATTTATTATCGATAAAATAATTAGAAGCGCGTTCGTTATTATTCGATCATTTTGCAAATTATCCATTCTACGTAATTCATATCGAATATTTTAAACGAACAAATACGTTTACGTTTCAGCAACGCAATGCAACGCAATGCAACGCAACGCAACGCAACGATCGATCAATTCGTCGTTCCTTCCATTAATACACCCGTCTAACAATTTCTTTTAATCGCTAATGTCCATCGGTATGAATATGAAAATGTTGTTTTATACGTTCACGTTCGTGAGTTATCAATAACGTCATTTTGTGTTATCAAAGGAAAAAAAGAAAAAAAAAAAAATAAGGAAAAAAATACACGTCATTAGCAATTCGTTTGATATTTTATTACGAGAGAACTGACGTGTCTATGAAATTATGTATAAACAAATCGTTTAAGTGCATTAAATAATAAAGTATACTTTATATATTTATAGGAAGAGAAGAAATTGTTTAAAGAAGGAAATAAAATTAAATCTTATTGATTTCAATTGTTTGAAAATTAAACTAGATTTGTTAAGGAAAGGTATTTGAAAAAAAAAGTTTTGTTTTTTTTTTTTCTTCTTTTTTTAATTTAAATACTTCGAGATTATAATCGATATTATGATTGCGTTTGTTAAGATTTTTAATTAATATTATTATTAGCACAGAATTAAATTAAACTTATTAAAACGGAAAATTCTTAATTTAAATTGTTTAGAATTAAATTACAACTTCGTTAACATTCTTAATTTATTTTTTTATATTATTCGCGGGAGATTAAATTAAGTTTATTAAGAAAAAATTCTTAATTTAAACGGTTTGAAATTAACCAAACCCTCGATCCTTCTCAATCCCTCTTATCACCCCGCCTCAACTTTGTAGAAAATTTTTAATTGAAATTATTTAAAACTGAACGATCCAACTTCGTGTACTAACACACTTAACTCAAATTATTTAAAATCCAATTTAATAAATCCGATCTATCTCTTTCTTTTATCAATCTTTATTCAAATCATTAAAAAAAAAAAAAATTAAATTACATGATTTATAACTTCGTAAAAGAATTTTTTAATCGAATAAATAATCATCTTAAATTAAATACGAATTCGTTAAATTAAAATTATTGAATCAATAATAATAATAATAATAATAATAATAATAATAATAATAATAATAATAATAATAATAATAATAATAATAATAATAATAAATTTTGTTGTGCCTGTGGAGTGTAGGACACCACGAATCAACTTTGAGCTCGATTGAAACAATTTGCTCGTTACATAATTCATGAATTTTACTTTTTTTTTTTTTGCTTTTATAATGACAAAATTAGAAATGCAAATTTCCAAACCTACTGATTATTATTTCCTAGGCTTAAAAGAATATATAAATAGCATTGTTTTAAAAGTAAAAATTATTCATTCCGTATAAATGAGAGCTATTCAAAGTGTCTAAGGTGTAGCCATCAACTTGAAGTGCATAACTTGAAATTATTTCCAGATGTGCACAACTATTCTTAACAAATAAGAAAAAGTAAAAGAAATATTAAAAAAAAAAAAAAAAAAAAAAAAAAAAAAAAAAAAATAGAGAAAAAAAAAGAATAAAAATAAGCCAGTAGAGAAAAAAGGTAAATAATACAAGTGTGACATAAATGTTATAGTTAAAAAAAAAAAAAAAAAGAAGAAGAAGAAAAAGAAAAAAAACTTCTTAC